TCCTATGAAAGATGTCCTTGATTCCATTTTTAGCCCTTTATATCCCTTCAAATACATAAGGCAATGAAGGCTTCTCATCCGAATCAACAATCCTTAAAAGTCTAATAAATGGAGACACAATCTTCACAACTGCGTAACATTCATTCTAGAATCGATTATCTAATATGTTTACACTGAGAGTTCTTCCAACTTCAATTCTTGCTAACTTGTGATCCACAAGATGCTTATCTATAACTAAAGCTTGTAAGTCATGTTTGTGCAAATATATGCTATGCAAGTTAATGAATGTAGTTCCAAACCTTGTTGTACTAGGACAAACAATTTCCTTCCAACTAGGTCTTTTCCTTAGCCATGACAAGACAATTATATGATTATATGCAAATATAGTAATTTTAGATGCCTTTATTGCAAGGTTTGACACATGAGGCATTGAAGCAATATCTCTCAAAATAAGATTTAAACAATGTGCTGCACAAGATGACCAATAAATAGTTTTATATTTCTCTCTAATCAATTTACCCCATGCTACATAGTTAGCAGTATTATCAGTCACCACATGGACTGGATTTTCAGGACCAACCCACTCAATAACTTCACTAAACAATAAGAATAATGTTTTGGCATCTTTGACTATATCTGAAGCATCAATTGATTTCATAAATACCATACCATATATGGAATACACTAAAAAATTAATCAAAGTTCTTTATCTAACATCAGTCCAACCATCAGCCATTAGTGTACAATCATTTTCTTTTCATGTCACATGATAACTCTCAATCAATAACTAACATTCTTTTTTCCAATCTCTCATCAAGTTAACTCAAAAATCATAAACATTAGGGGCCTTAAACCTAGGCCCAATTGCAATAATAGCATCAACAGATTTTTGAAAAAGAGGACAATCTAATGTATTAAATAGAATGTAATTAACAATAGCCCATTAAGCAATAACCATCTTGGTATTATATTATTCTTCTTTAGTTGATAATACACTCTTGAGGCTTGGTTGGGAACCAGGAGTTGTCCTAGGAGCAAAATAACTTTCAACCCTTCCAACCAAAGGAACTTTTCACTTGTTCCCATTACTCTCAACATTGCCTTTCTAAGTTGAGGTGAAGCAATTAGCTCCTCAATTCCTATAATTTTAGTGTCTTCTTCTCCGCAAGTAATAGATTTTTTCTTTGCCTCTCCTATTAAAGAATCTTTCATTTTAGCACGTATATTATAAGGAACTTTTTTACAAGAAGAAACTTGGCCAGAGACACCAGCTAGATGTTGTTTCATCCTATTTTTACCACCTCCTCTATAACTTGATGCACAAAAAAGACATATAAAAACATTTACTTCCCCCTCTTTTTCAAGGGAAACATATGCCTATGTAAAATCAGTTTTATTATGCCCATATAAAGGTGCAGTGCTATTGGGATTATTAGTAAAACCAGGAGTGGGGTTAGGGCTCTCATTTCCTTTAGTATTTGTATCATCCATGATCAATAGTTTTAGCACAAATAATCCCATAAAAACTACAAATTAATAAAACACTAAAACAGAGTCAAAGCAAAATCATAAAGTTAGAGCAAATTAATAATCCCAATCACAATAATAAGTTTGAAGCAGTAAAGCATAAAGTCTGAACTCTAAACCATAAAGTTAGATAAAGTCTATTGATTTAATAGAAATCTTAAAACCAAAAGTAAAATTGTTCAAGAATTTTGATCGTGATCATTATTTATCAATAAACATATATTTTCTACAAAGAAAAAAAATAAATAAAACAAACAGGAAACTTCAAAAATCTAAAGAAAAAGAAAAAGAAAGAAAAGGAACTAAAGGTAGTTGAACTAACATAGTAACATTAACGGAAATCAGAAAAAGAGCAAGCTTTGGCAAAAAAAAAAAATTAAAACCCCAATGAGAATCTGAAAAAAAAAAAAAGGCAAATTAGAAATGCTAGCGGTGGAACTCTGAAAAGCTGTGGAACTCCATCAATGCGAATGCTGGTTCTGATGTCATGCTCTATTTATGTTAGCGTGAATGCCTCAACTTGAATGAGCCATGGTGAAAACAACCATGATGCTTTGAACTCTAAAATACAAGGAAAAATGGCAACCAGAATGAGTAAAAAGAGGGAAACTAGGGCAAAAATAGGTATATGCAAGAAAGAAGGAGAGAAAGAAAATAAAAGGGGAAATAGAGAGTCTGAAGCAAGAAGAGTGAGCTGTGAATGACAGAATGAGTTGTGTTTTATACTTTTTTCAATTTTCAGTTTTTGAATCAGCCTCTAAGTTTGAAGAAAGAGAACATTTTATTTTAAAAAAATTAAAATAAGGTTAAACGATGTTGTTTTGACATAGTTGAATTTTTTTTTAAAATTAGCCTGGTGTGACCCAATAACCTGTCGGGTTGCCCGAGTTATTCCTCAGTCACCCTTGGTCAATCCGGGTCACTCCGGGTCAAATTGACTCCAACCCACAGAGTCAATCAAACTAGTCACCTGACCAATTTGTCGATTTTCAGTCTGGTTTTACAAACCATGGTTTTTATTGCATTTTTCATGCTTTTTGACCATTTTTGTCTAAGAAAAATTTCCTTATTGAAAAACTTAATGTAGTTGATGAGTCATAGGTGAGTCATGGCTAGTCCTAACTCGAGACTTTCCTCTCTTATTCTCTATTGTCAGATGATGAAACTACCAATAAAAAAAGTAAAGAAACATGGAGTACCAAAAAATAGGATAAAGCTCCATCTACTCAAGGCTTTAATACCCCTAAGGATTTAGAAGACAATGAGGATGAACCCTTTCCTGTCAAGGCTACCAATGAAGAGGTAGATAGAGAAACTGACAAAAAGTTGATTAAGAAAGTGGCAAAGAAGAACGCTTATGACTACGAATACGTGGGAAATCCGCATGATGCCTTACATCAATGTACCTCACGTATCACAAACCACAGCAATCCTATGTGTTATACAGATATGATAATTCAATATCATAAGGCACTTGTCAAATGTGGTAGCAATCTCCCCACAAGCTTTTGGAAGACTATTATAAGCATGCATTTGAAAAACATTCTTGTGGAACACAGAGAAACCTTGTTCTATCATACTTTCAAGCTTTAAACCATGACTGTGCTTATTAATTGCTTTTTGAAAGTTGTTATGGTTTTTTTGGACCTTTTGAAAATACGAACCTTACTATAATTGTTTGACAATTTTGATGAATAATATTTTGTCTTTTAATTGCTTTAATTGAGTGAGAGCTACTTTCGGATTGTGAAATCCACATGCTCAAACAAGGAGATAAGTTCAAACAAACCAATCGTGAGAAGATAAGAAGCAAACCAACATGAGTGAGATGGAAGCCAACACAGTTGACTCTTGATTGCGAAATTGGCAATCTTTTTATCCAGTTACTATTGTTTTTGTTTGAACATTGAATTTTTATTGTATACTATAATTGTAATATATCCCAAATGGCCACAAAGTCCATATATAATAGCTAAGCTGAACAAAGGCGATAAGCTGAATGGAGACAATTATGGTATGTGGCACCATAAAGTCTCCTATCTCCTAAAGGAACAAGACATTATGGACATCCTATCAAACTATGCTATAACAACTTGATGTTGCAGCATCATGAAAGGAGCAAGAGGCATATACTACCTAGAAACGAAAGAACTTGCTTGAGTGACCATACTAAGTAACATTAAGGACAACATTATGTGTGAATTTGAAGATTATGAGATTGCCCAAGCCATATGGATGGCCTTGAAGGATAAGTTTGATGGCACTTCTACCAACAAACTGTGAAAGCTCACCATCAAGTTTGACACTTATAAGTTGAGGTTTAAAATACTAGTTAGGAAACATTCGAGACACATGTCAAACATGATTTGAGAGCCGAAAAAGGTAAGGCATGCCCTTTCTGATGAGTAGTAGGTTCAAGCCATCATAAGATCACTCTCACTAGCTTAGAGCACATGAAGATTAACCTCACTCAAAGTGAGACCATAATGACCTTCACAAATATGGCAGACAATATCAAACTTGACGATGAAAGGCTGAAGGCTGTGAAGTTTGCCAACCTAAAGACAAGGAGGGTTTATCTTCTAAACATCAAACACAAAAGAGAAGAGGTCCCAACAAAAAGTAAAAAGGGGCACAAAGTCCCAGAAAAGCAAGAAAACCTTCAAGAAAAACAAGAGACCTACCAAAAAGAAACTTGACTTGGCAAAAGTCAAATACTATGCTTGTCACAAGAAGGGACACTTTTCTAAAGAAAAAGTTGAACTCTTCTCGACATGGTTAGGTCCATGATGACTCAAGCAAAACTACTAATCTCGTACTGGGGAGAAGCGCTTTCAAATGCTACTTTTATACTTAACCATGTGCCCTCAAAATCAGTCATCCCAACATCTTAAAAGCTATGTATAAAACAAAAGCCAGACCGAGTGTCCTAAGACTTTCAAGATGTGCTGCATATATTCATGACTCCTTGTCCTTATGAGCTATAGACAAAATGATGATGTGGCCAAAAGGGTATGTCTTAGTTGGTGAAAATTTGGACTAGGAGTCATGAACATATGTAGCACATCCATAAGGTCTTAAGACACTCAGGTCTGGATTGTGTTTTGTCCAGAGCTTACAGGGCACTGATGTGACAACCGTACTTTCAAAACCATTTTTAGATTAAATCCAATAATTTAGTTGAATGATTAACCATGATAAAAAAGAAACCTTCAAATTTTAAAATCACTATCATGGTTAAAAGAAATAAACTTATATTACGAGCAACATTGATCATTAACTTGGGCCTTGGACTTATGAAGTGTAGAAATATCATTCAACTATTAGTCCAAACCAAACTTATACTTTCAAACACATGAACTGATGAATCATTTTAATATAAGTCATGGAACCCATTAGTCAAAAGTCAACACTATCAAAGGAGCGTAATACACAAAGTCCTAAATATCTCTGGCCTTCTAACGACCCCCATATCAAATAGTAGTAATTAAAAATATTAGTTTACAGTATTAGAGTATATGGGCCCTATGTGGCAGTATATAACAAATCAGCGCATAAAACAAAAGTCGAGAGGCTATATAAGCTATAACAACATGCTATGTTTCCGGAGCCTTCCCTGATGGGCCGCTACCTGAACTATCACCTGAAGATACTAAAAACCACAGGATGAGACAAACGCCTCAGTAACCAACTTTCCAACTCATCATACATACTAACATGTACTCGTGAGGTGTCAAGTGGGACAGTTAATAATTCTTGAGAAATATAAATATATCCATCAACATATAATTTCAATCATCCCAACCTCACTTTGGGAGCTAACACACAAGCCATATAAGTCTATCCATCACTATGGGGGATCAATCAGACATATAGGCCTGTCTCTCACTATAGGGGTTGAAGGAAGAAGCCAACCAATGTGCACCAATGGCGGCCTTACTACGTGGTAGGATATGGTTCAATCCAAAATCCAAATAACAACCAATCATTCACAATATAACAAAAATATCTCAATCTTTTTTCAGTGTAATCCATAAGATATAAATGATATATCTTTCCAAACTTCTCCATCACAATTCCAAAAATCCCACAAGACAATTTTTATAGCTCAAAAGTTATAATATATCTACCCGAGTTCCAAATAACAAATACTATTCTAAAATAGCCAAATACTCACAAACAACATATTAGCACATATAACAAGTGGAAAATGGTTACCTCTCACCAAAGCAATAAAAAGAATTACCACAAAGTCAATCATTTGCTCAACTAATAATTAATCTACACAATTAATAACAACATATTAATATAAGATAATTAATTAAACTTCTCTATATTAGTTAAATTTCTAATTTAATTTAATTTTTATTTTAAATTCTCGCAGCTCTCATAACCCAAAATTAAGTATAACTTAAAATTTCCTAAAAGCCAAATTATTTATTTACAACCCCCAAATTATTTACTTTAATAAAAAGAATTTTCCAACATTTTCAAATATAAAATTTTTATGTTCTAAATTCTAAAAATCTCATTTTCAGTTTAAACCTCAAAATCAAACTATCAAAAATTTAATAATATTTCAAATATTTATAAATAAATAATCTAGTCAAAACTTTAATGATATAACTATCATATATATATATATATTCATGAATAATAAACTTTTTAGCTAAAATAATTATTTTAAAATCTCCAATTACCCGATAAATAAAACTAAACCAATTAAAATCTTAATAATATGTCAAAGTACCCAAATAAATTATTTAACTTAATTTTAATCGGTAAAAATATAATATAATCATATATAACAAATTTTTCAACTAGGAAAATTCATTTAAGCATTAAAACCAACAAATGGACAAATCTAACCGATTAAAATTAACAACTCATTTACCTCTAAATTTTCATGATCATCTTTTACCAAAACCCCATATTTACATCATATATAAGTTTCAAAATTTTCTCTAAACACTATAGTAATACTGTCATTAGGAAGCATAAAATATAGGAAATATTCATGAAGAAAGTTTGATGAAAAGAAGTAATTTCATGTACCTAAATTATCCCTAAAGCTTGTGTTACTCTTCAAAGTGTCAAAACTTCTCTGCTCCTCTCTTGTTCTCTCTGTCTCTAATTCTCTCTCTTTCTCTCCTTGTCTCACGCACTCTCGCCTTCTGCCTCCTACTCTCTTTTATTCTACAATTCCAACCGCCCGTCACAAATTTTCCTCCTTGCATTAACTCCTCCTCCCCTAAGTCTTCCTCCTCCTTTCTACACGCTACCCATTTTCCACTCTCTCCCAATTTTCAACCTTCAAATTTCAACTTTCCACCAAATTAGGTGGAAAGTTGACTCTATTATATATATATATATATATATATTAAAATATTAGGATATTATAACTGAGGTGACTAATTTTGAGGGTAGATGGTTAAGTATAAAAGCAGTATTTAAAATTGCTTCTTCCCAATATGAGATTGGAAGTTCTACTTGAGCCATTATGGACCTAACCATATCAAGAAGAGTTTCATTTCTTCTCTTAACAACGCTATTTTGTTGTGGGGTGCAAGAAATAGTTAATTGCCTAATTATTCCTTTGTTATCACAGAGTTCCTTGAATTGGTCAGATAGATACTCTCTACCCCTGTCAATTCTTAAGGACTTGACTTTGCAACCCAACTAATTCTCTACAAGGTTAAGGTATTTTCTGAAACATTCTAAGGCCTTTCACTTGTGTGAGATCAAGCAGATATACCTATATTGCGAGAAATCATTGATGAAGGTAATGAAATACCAAGCTCCATGCTTTGCCCTCATACTCATAGGTCCACAAATGTCAGAGTGCACTAACTACAAAGCATACTCTGCTCTAGATGCCTTTCCAAAAGGCTTCTTTATGGCTTTACCGACTAGGCAATGCTCACACAGGGACATTTATTCTTTAGATACATTTTTCAGCATACCCTCATTTTCTAGTTTGATTATACATTCTTAACCAATTATCTAAGTCTAGCATGCCATACATAATAGTTCATGTAAGAAGTAACAACATAGTAAGAACTAGAATTGAAATTATCACTAAAATTTTCCAAAACAAAAAATCTATCCAAAGTATAACCAAATTCGATAAATTTGGTCCCATGTTTAATGTCAACAACATAATTATGAAAGTGAATAGCAAAATAAAACTTAGTTAAAGACATGACAGAGACAAGATTTCGCCAAATATCTAGAGCGTAGAGAACTTCCTCTAAGACCAGGGTTCGTCTTCTTTATAGGTCAACTTGCAGGTGCCAATCCCTTTTACTTCTACCCTTGTGTTATTTCCAATGTAAAGCCATATGCTCTTACTTAGTAGCAAATGAAAATTTATGAAGTTTCCATAATCTGTTACACTTGACTCTATAACCCATATAGGATTAACTTTTACTATAAAAGAAGTACTAGAAACATAAAAAATACAAAGGGTTTAAAGCTAATACCTTCTACTCAGGGTAGTCTTTGGTAAAGTATCCCTTCTTGTGGCAAGCATAGCACTTGACTTTTACCAAGTCAAGTTTCTCCTTGATATGCTTCTTGCCTTTCTTAAATATTTTCTTTTCTTTCTGGGCCTTAGGGCCCTATTTGCTTTTTTATTGGGACCTTTGCACTTTTGTGTTTGACATTTGGAGGATGAACCCTTCTTGCCTTCAGTTAAGTATGCTTGGTTGGTGGACTTTGTAGCCTCCAGCCTTTCATCCTTAAGTTCTATGTGGCATGTCACATCCACAAAGGTTGTTATGCTCTCATTGTTTGTGAGGTTGACTTCATATGCTCCCAACTAGTTGGGAATGATCTTATGTAGCATGAACCTGCTACTCATCACAAAGAGTATGCAATTAGAAGATCAGAATAATCTTATGCTCCCAGCTCTTGAATCATGTTTCACATGTCTCTCAAGTGTTACATAATTGGTGTGTTAGGCCTCAACTTGTCAGAAATGTACTAAAAACCAGACTAGTGTATGAACTAGTCGAAGCAGTAGGTTAAGGGTCAGTGAGTTAGATCAAGGTTAGCTTGGGGTCAAACTGGTGGTAATTAAAATAATTTAATTAAATTGAAATGTGTAAAAATATTTACTAATAAAATTGTAAATTCAAATTATTTTATTACTAGAATATAAATGCATTTTCCTCATCATTTCTCTCTCATTCATGTGCCCTCTGTTGTCCTTTTGTCATATTTTCTTTCTTCCTAATGCCATTAAATCATTTCACTCGCACTCTATTGTCAAATCACCATTCTTCAAATCCTCAAGTTAAACATAAACCTCCCCTCCTACAAAAGAAAATCTACATCCAAAATCAAGGTTCATCATCTATCATGCGCTACCTCTTTCATTCATCAATCACCATCGCTAACTCTTCAATCTTCACTTCTATCATCAGAATCCACCATTTTGATACCACAGCTTGTTGTCCTCCCCAAATGTAGATGCATCATCAATATTGGCTCTTGTGGCTTACTCTTTCTTTCATTTTCCTTTCTCACTTTTCTTCTCTCTTCGTCTACCCCGCCCTCTATTTTTTTTAGTACCTCAAAAAGTTAACCTGAGTAACTCACCTAACTTGGTGGGTTACACTAGTTGCCACCAGGCCATACTAATTTTAGGTAGTCCATGTTGGTTTAGGGAGGGAACCAAATCAGACAAATGGTCAGTTTGCCAGTTTTTGGTCAGAATTGGCTAGTTTGGTTTGGTTTTAAACACTATACTTGTAAGTGTCAAACTTAACGGTGAGCCTTCTTGGTTTAGTAGTAGAAGTGCCATCAAACTTATCCTTTAAGGCTATCCATATGGCTTGGAAAGTTGCACAATCTTCGAACTCACACATAATGTCGTCTGCCATGGCACTTAGCATCATCACCCGAGTAAGACTACTCTTTTGTTTATAGGCAGTATATGCCTCTTGCTCCCTTTGTGATGCTCCAATGTCAAGTTGCTCAAGCATAGTTGATAGGATATCTATAATCTCTTGCTCCTCCAGGTCATAAGAGATTTTCTGGTGCCACATGTTGTAATTATATCCATTCAGCTTATAACCTTTGTTCAACTCAGCTATTATGAACTTTGTGGCCATTTAGGATATATTACTTTTACATAAACAATTATGCATTTAAAATAATGATATACAATAACAATTTAATGTCCAAACAAGAACAAGAGTAATTGGATGAAAAGATTGCCAATTTTACAATTAGGAGTTAACTGGGTTGGCTCTCATCTCACTCATGTAGGTTCCCTTCTCATCTTCTCACAGTTAGTTTGTTCAAACTTATCTCCTTATTGAAGCTTGTGGATTTCACAATCTAAAAGTAGCTCCCACTCAATTAAAGCAATTAAAAAACAAAATATTATTCATCAAAATTGTCAAACAATTGCAATATGGTTCGTATTTTCAAAAGGTCTAAAAAAACCATAACAACTTTTAAAAAGAAACTAATAAGCATAATCATGATTTAAAGCTCAAAAGTATGATAGAACAAGGTCTCTTTGTGTTCCACAAAAATGTTTTCCAGGTGCACGTTTAAAACGTCCTTCCAAAAACTTGTGGGGAAATTGTTGCCACGTCTAACAAGCGCTTTATAATATTATATTATCATATTTGCATAAAACACAGTATCGTTATGGGTTATGATACTTGAGGTGTATCGATGTAAGGCATCATGCAGATTTCCCACATATTTACTGTCACGAGCATCCCTCTTTTCCACTTTCCTAATCAACTTCTTGTTAGTTTCTCCGTCCACCTCTTCATTGATAGCCTTAACGAGCAAGGGTTTCCTCCTCATCACCTTTTATATCATTTAGGATACTGGAGCCTTGAGTAGACAGAGCCTTCACCCTATGTTGATACTCCATGCTTCTCTACTTTTCATATTTTGAATTTCATTATCAAACAACGAAGAATAAGAGAGGAAAGTCTCGTAGTCGTGACTTGCCATGACTTACTTATAACTCATTAATTACATTAAAATTTTTAATTAGAAAATTTTTCTTGGAGAAAAAATGAGGTGAAAGCCCCCCCAAAAAAAATAGTCAAAAGGCATAAAAATGTAATAAAAACACACATTATTTGTAAAAATATCCAAAAATTCATATTAATATGAAGCTCATGAACTTAGGGAATTTTTGGATCAAACTGTGCTCAAATAAGACTTCCCACATGCCCTCACAAGCCCCTAAAAAGCCTAGGAATAAAAAATTCATGAAAAATGGAAAGCTATAGCAAATCCCACTCTTAAGGGGTGGCGCAGATATCCATGTACCATCTTTTAGGCCTCTATTGCTTTTGGGCAGCATTCTGTTGGACTCCATATGTCATCACGAGTGTATTAGTGTTTTTATGTTGACCAATAGGCTTAGGGGTAGGCCTTATGTACTGCCTAAGCTTCTGGACCTACCTCCTCCTCCTCTTTTTTTTTTAGAAGAAAAAAAACTCTTCTTTTAACACCCCCGGATCCAAGTCTAACTGTCCCCCCCCTTTTTTCAAAAACATTTTTTTAAAGGAATGACTAGGCCAATTAGCCCAATACACTACATTCCACTTAGTGAAGCATAGTGCTTAGGGGTGCCTCAAAACAGAGTCATTTTAGGTCCCTTAGGTCATCTTCTACCTCCAACTAGGTTGCCCTAACCCGATTAGAGGTCCGATAAGTCCATCGCGACCAACCACCTTCTCTCTTTTGTTTCTCCCTCATCCGACATCTATTTGACATGTTTTTTGGTGTTGTTAGGATCATCTTTTCATGAACTACATGTCTACACTCTTTGTTCACACAAAAGGACTTGATTTTAAAGACCCAAAAACTCACCTCCATGAACATTGTAGCCATTGATTCAAAAACACAAGGGGCAGCGTTTTTACTGGGAAGAACATTATAAAATGTTCTCTCTTTAGGTTTAAAAGAAAGCTTTATCCTCTTCTTTTAAAAAAACATTTGAAAATTTTAACCTTTTATATGAAGCCATTTGCATTTTGAAACAATACGAATTTTGAGAGGAAAAAACTTCAAGAAACCAAAGACACAGCCTTCGCCAAAATAACAAAGTGTTCAATTCTTAAAAAAAGCAAAACAAAAAAAACACGTGCAAAAAAAAGGAAAACCTATTTCTTTTAGAAGTAGCACACATTGTGAAGAAAAAATGCATATATAACATATAAAAAAAAAGCATAGACAGTGGAAGAAAACAAAATCACGTGTGAAAGAAACATAACCATAGGAACAGGTAGGCTCTAATGCCAATAAAGGAAATACAAGAAATAATCAAAGGGAGGAGAGAGAAAACATATCAGGTCAATTCCAGGTGATGATGCTGATAGCTCATGTAGTACCAAGACTACTAGAGCCTTAGAAAAATGGCACAGTAGATGCACCGAAGAGAGAAGAGATAACTAGAATGCTCAACAGTTGGGGTGAAGAGAAATTAGCTGAGACACTTCCTATTTATAGGGTTTGGGTGACCCTTATTTCAGGAAGGTGTGATCCCAATCATTTATTGTAAGATAATATTCTGATTCCACAATCAACAATCAATGTCTGATTGATTTATCTCTAATTAATCAAGTCCTTAATACTTGATTAAATATTCCCCAATCAGTCAATTATTTCCTCTAATTTATGGCTGATTTTCTTGATTGGAAAGATTCACTTCTCTTGGATGAAGTAGTCCAACCATAAAGGACAGACTTAGGCCCAATCTCTTTGAATTTTGAAATAAAAGACATAAGTGAAGCAGAATATATCTTAGGAGTCAAGATAAAGAGGGATCGCACAAAAAAGTTAGTCTTTATCTCCAAAAAATATATATAACTAAAATCCTTGAACGATTCAACATGAGAGACTGTAAACCTATGGATACCCCTGTTATTAAGGGATATAACCTAACTAAAGATATGTAGCCTATAAAAGAATCTGATATATAGCACATGAGAAGATTCCCATACTCAAGTGTAGTTGGTAGTTTGATGTATGTAATGATTTGTACAAGACCAGGCATATGTTTTACAGTTAGACTTATAAGATGTTTCTAGTAAAACTTGAGTGTGAAACACTGAGAAGCCGCAAAGAGAATCATGAGTTACCTAAAAGGAACCATGGACTACGAGTTGTGCTATGACAGTAATAACATGCACTTGGAAGGATTCTTAGATGCTAGGTGGGCTAAAGATCTCAATGAGCGCCACTATACTTCAAGATAAGCATTCCTCCTGGGTAATAAAGCAATTTCCTGAAGAAGTAAGAAACAGACATGTGTGTGTTTATCTTTCATGGAAGCAGAATATGTGGTGTGTTCTGCCACTGTGCAAGAAGCTATATGGCTTAAGAGGTTCTTAGAGCAATTAGCAACAAACAACGCAATTGTGATAGCCAAGCAGCAATAGCTTATGCTAAGGACCCAAAATATCACAACAAGACTAAGCACATAGACATTAAATATCATTTTTTTAAGAGATATGATTGATAAGAAACAAGTCACTATTCAAACGTTTCCACTCAAAAGATAATAACTGATCCCCTTACAAAGCCTATAGCTAGAGACCTTTTCATTAAACATGTAAAGGCTATAAGCATGTGTAGAACCTGATGTATTGAATCTTGTTTCATTCAATAAAGTTACGCACTCCCTTTTCAAAATCATTCAGTGGTATACAACGCTTATAGTGTTGTACAGGATAAGGTTGACTTTCTCACATCTGTATACACCTTTAAACATTCATGAGGAACACAAAAGATGAGACATTGCATGATGCCAATCATATAGTAAGAATTATGGAACGGTTGAGAAGTATCACTGCACATATGTGACCTCAACTAGACTTGAGATGAGACTTGCATGTGGCATAGGTGGAATCATGAATAGTCACATAGTTCATGAAACTTGTTGGCCAAATAAAGAACTCATCTTGAAAGACATTGTAATTCGTCAAGCGAAAAGTTGTAGTTTAGGCACTAAGTGTGCCTAGAACTAAAGTCTGCACAATGACAATAAAGAAAAAATGACGCTCGCTTTTAATAGATTAAGACGAACATTATGACATGCAATTCATACTACATGTGTTTCTATTAACTGTAACTGGGAAGATCCCTTGTCCCACTCCAACGTGAGTCCCTAAAAAGAATAAACCTTTTATGACGCCCTTAAGACTTAGACGGTATCATGAAGAGACAACCTAGTGCTTGCTATCTTGGCTTGCACCCTGTGATCATGAGAGATCTAGTCTAACAAGTAAATACCAAGAAAGCGACAAAGCTTTACTTGAGTAATGGCTATATACTAGTATCTGAGACATGTCTCTTGTAAGAAATTTGAACAATTTACACATGTGGATGCTACATATAAAAGTAGGCAATCTGAGTTAGATGAACTTGACTCGAGAGGGATTAGACGCATCATAAGAAAAATGTAAGGGTAAATCTGGGGCATTCAAGGCAGTATCCAAACATGCTTGGGATGTCCTTGTGTATTGGCTCAGCCTTAAGAGCTTCTAGTGAACAAGCATCCAAAGTTGAAGACTCATGCCCATGCAGTCACAACAAAGCACCAAGTATGAAATGAGAAGGATAGGAGAATTGCACAATGGTCAACCTATTAAGTGTGAGTAGGAGATTGTAGACATTTGGCCCATGTTAGCCTTTAACGGGCCGAACTACTTGATCTAAGAGAAGAGAATCTCTCTAACAATCACAAATCAGAGGCAATAATTGACTAATTTGAAAATATTCAATGCAGCATTAAAGACTTGATTGATTGAAGAGAAATCAATCAGACATTGATTGTTGATTGAAGAATCAGAATATTATCCCACAATAAGTATGGGAGATTGCACCCTCCTAAAAGAAGGGTCACCTAGACCCTATAAATAGAAGGTGTCTCAACTCATTTCTCTTCACCCCAACTGTTAAGCTTTTTGGTTATCTCTTCTCCTCTCTCTGATGCATCTGCTATGCCATTCTTGCCAAGGCTCTAATAGTCTCGGTACTGCGTGAGCTATCAGTATCACAAACTAAAACCGACCCGGTATATTTCTCTCTCCTCTCTCTGATTTTTTCTTGTCTTTCCTTCAGTTACAATTACGAATTGTGTAGATCAGATTTTTAATAGTTCAAATTTATTTGTATTTATACTAATAATTTCATTAAAAAAACTAAATTTTAACCATCCATTTTTTTTAATCCTAAGAATGATAGGAAAGGGAGAAAACCCAAGCCCTGATCTTAATTAGTGAAAGAAACTTTGATTGTTTAAACATGAGGTCTTAAATTTGAATATGTGTGAACGTAGAAAACATATTTTTGGGAAAGTTATCCGTATTGGACTCGAAAATGATCAAATCTAACTCAATCATGTAGTTATATAAAATTGGTTCAATCAAGCCAATGCCTTTGTATTTTCCCCAAGTCTTAAGCTTAATTATAATTTATTTCCCACTAATTTTTGTTCCCTTAGGTTATTACACAACACATTTTCGAAGGTTTAATTATCAATTATTCATAATGAATATCCACCTAAGATCCAAAGAGAATTTCCCTATTATTAACTATACATTAGAAAATGCAATCATCAAGAATTAATTTACTATAATGGCTAGAAAAAGGAATTAATTTACGGTAGTCAGCATTAATATGGAGAGATTATAAGGATTTGCTTTCATATAATACCCAGTTCATACGAATATAAAAAGAATATTTCTTTAATTCCCATCTCTGCTCTTCAACAAAATCATGTCTCTTATTCCAAAAATCTAACAAATACTTTATTATATTGTCAATAATTTTATATAATAATATTGCTACTGCCTCATATCCTTAATATAAGAGTTAGTATAACATTCAGTTTGATCATAAATATAAGACTCTAATCCATTTTGTCTTTTATATTTAGTCATTTAAAAAAAAGAAGTTCTTGTAGTAGTAACGCATATTAAAGATTCTATCAAATAGTAATTCTAACTAAAACATATGATTAGCAAAAGTATTTTAGGGAAGGTAACATATATTTATTACAAATAACTAATTGAACAAATTTTTTTAATTTACTTAAATTAGTCAACTAGCTCTTATGTTAAGTACCGGAGGTAATATAACATTTAGTTGGTTGTATAAAAAGTTAAAAACTTCCACGACTCTTGCGTATCCACGGAGGATGGCTGGGACAAGTGCATTGCCTAATACCCCCTCCATTTTTATGTTTAAGTTTAATTATTTACAGAACTCAAGAAAATTATTTAAAAATAGTATATGTTCTTAAAACTATCGTAATTATTTTAAAAATCCTTTAATTAAATTCAATAAATACTACCATAATTTTATTCAATTTTTGTAATCCCTGTCTCCACCATAATCACTCAACAATATCTATATCAAGGGCAATATTAAAAAATATTAATTACATAGATTTTATAAAATAACTTATAAATAGGAACATAAAAAGCTTTTAGAAGACAACTAATAAATAAAAATAAATGGAGTAAGCTAGATGAGGACCGGCCTAACGGCTAGTCAAAAATTGGGGAGAATCAGGATTTAAAAAAAAAAAAAAACTTAAAATTTAGGTAATAGTTCTAAGCTATATATTATGCATATTTATATGTTATAAGCATTGAAATGAAAAATGAAGACTAGTAAAGAAATGTGCCCAAAAAAACGGGTATATGTTTATAAAACAGTAATTTTAAAATACATGCATGCATTGGACCAATCCTTTTATGGCATTTATACAAAGCACAGTCCAACTCAACAAGGAATATAATAAGTTGAGTAACAAGTGTAAGTTATAACATCTCTCTGGTTTTTTTTTATATTATTATTATAAGTACCCTTTTTTAGTCTCTCTCAACTATAAGTAGTTTAGAAGTTAGATTTTTTTTTTTTTTGGGGGCACAACAGGAAGACCCCATCACCCATATCTGATGTCTTTCCTATACCTGGCCCTCTAACATGGGTTAGATATCCAAGACAGATTACATTCTCTACTGACAAATGTGCTTCTTAAAATATGTATTTGTGTTTTTCTTAAGGGGGCCATTGCTACTTATCATCTCAACCAACACATCTTTTAAACATAACAATATAACCATTTAATTTTTAAAATTACTAGGAGTTTGAGAAAAGGATAAAATAGTTATATCAAATAGACAAATAATAGTTATAGTCTTAATGTATTGATGCTTAGTACTTTTTGGTTAGCTGCACGGAAATTTATTGTCTTGGTGAAAAGGCCCTACTAATTATTGCATGCTTGATCAGATGATCATCGTAAAGAAAATTAGACCTTCAATCCTATCAATTGAACCAAGAGTTACATCTTCATCTGTCATTGAGATTACTAAGAGACTGTTGTTAACAGCAGATTCCATTAAGTTACAATATTTATCAGGATTGAGACACAAGAAAAGCAAGTGACTCATGTCAAAGTCAGAATCCCCAGTCGATATTGAGTTATTCATCCTAACTTCCCTAATGTGATGAATGAATCAAGTGACTTTGAGCATCTACCTAATGCCAGAACTTAAGATGCTCGGCAATCTACCCTTTTGTTATGTACGGTTGAGTTTTGGTTGCGACTTATTCAGAACTTCCTCTCTGTTAGTGTCTTCACATTGTGTCATTTTGGCAATCACTCTGAGTTGATCTCCTCAAAAATTCTGATACTAGCTTTGAGAATGATGATGAATTGTTCTCTAGTAGCTTAGCTGGGTGATCAAACTCTGCAATCCTCCCTGCACATATCAGAATATTAGCACTCAAGGAATGATATGATATATTAAAAAGATACATGTTCTTCCCTAATTTCTTATTTGGACACAATGAATCTTCAAATACCTTCATCGAGAACCAATACA